TAAAAAGGGGGGGGGCCCCCCCCCCCCCCCCCCCGCCCACATGACCCCCTGTGCCCCCAATGTACACAGAATGCCTCCGTACGTGGCGCAAGAGCAAAGGTCCCCAGAAGGATATCAGCCGCACGTGCCCCGAGTGCCGCAAGGTGTCGTTCTTCCTCGTGCCGTCAAAGGAACACCTCAAGGGGAAGGCCAAGCTGAAGGCCATCCAGGCCTACAAGAAGGGGCTGTCCAAGCTCCCGTGCAAGTGAGAGAGAGAGACACACACACACACGGACAGACAGACAGACAGACAGACAGACAAGACACAACGGGCAGACAGAGAGAGATGGAGAGAGAGACACGGAGAAGGACAGACAGACAAAAAATCTCGATGAAGTCAATCGCTTTTGTCCTACATGACCACGCCCCCCCCCTGCCTTAGCGTCCCCGTAGCCCGTAGGCAACGCGTGCTTCGTGCATGCATGCCACTCTCCGTCTCAAGTCTTCCCTCGGCCCCTCTTATAGCTTACCCTCTCCTTTTTTACTCTGTCCTGTACATCTCTCCCGCCCCCCTCCCCCAGGTACCACAAGCCAGGCAAGGCCTCCGGCGGCGGAACTACCACCGTATGCCCGTTCGGCTCGCGCTGCTTCTACGCCCACCTCGACGAGAACGGCAACGACGTAAAGGACCGCGCGACGCCCGCCCCACCCGCGCCTTTGCGCCGCACTTGCCCGTACCTAAGGGCCGGAGGAGGCGGCGGCGGCGGCGGCGGCGGCGGCGGCGGCGGGGCCAGTCGGGGTGGTGGGGCAAACAGGGGCGGCGGTAGGAGTGGCGGCCGTGGCGGAACGGGAGCTGGGGATCGCGCTGGGCATGGTCACGGAGCCAGTGGCCGTGTGTTCAGCGATGTCCATGTGCTGTACCCCTTCGGCAGAGATGGTGAGTTGTTGGCTAGTCCTAGGCCGAGAGGGGGAGGGGGGTCTGGGAAGTGTCGTGTGATGTCAATCTCAATCTCGGGCACGCTGAGTTTTTGTTGTGGTTGGCGAGTGCGACTGCTGTCCTCGTCGTTCCCGCTGACGACCAGTTGTCATTCGCGTGTTTTTCTCTAGCACTTTGCTCTTTCCCATCACCACGTTCGTACCCACCGAACGACCTGCCTGGCTGATCCTCCGTTCCTAGCATTGGGTGGGTGGTAAACTAATGAAATCAACCACCGGCGATACCGGTGGCGGTGGTGGCTTGATGTGCCTTCGTTGTTCGGCTCGCGGTTGCGTTCGGAATCCAAACCCAGGCACCACGGCGCGCTTCGCCCCAGACATCATGATGGGCTCACACGGCAGCAGACAGCACATGTCGGTCATCATGCGCCTTCAGCAGCTTATGCTTGACGCTGCCGCCGCCGAAGACCTCTAAGCTTTTCTCGGGAAGAAGTGAAGACCTTACACGTACGTGATATTCCAGGCTTCGGGTTCCTTCTCATGTTACTTTTTGGGATATAGGGTTAGTATTGTGCTTGTTGAAGACGTTCGGAGCATCCCACCAAGTTTGCACGGCCTTCCCGAGGAGAGGTGATGGTAAGGGGGAGAGCAGGAGGGGGGCAAATGGCCCCTCACCCGTGCGCACGGGAACAGAAGTAGGAAAAAGAGGGGGCGACGGTGACTGTAACGAGGGGGGGGGGTGTCCGTGTTACATTTTTTTTGTTTTTCCGTGGTTACCTTGGCCGTGTTTCCTTTTGGGTTAAGCCGTCAGAGATCGTAGTTATCCCCGCCGATATCCGCATCATACACGTATGATAGCAAAACAACGAAGGGTACCCGCTCGTGTGTTTTTGGAGAATATTTTACTGCGGTGCCTTTTCTTACGCCTTGTGTTCGGTCGAGCGTAAGGGCACGTCGCGAAGTACCTGCCGTGGCTTCTTTGTACATGTCAATTGTCTCGTTTTTTTAAAAGACCCTTCTCATGTGTTTGTACTGACTGCTGTTTGCTCGTGCTGTAAGGGCGGCTTGCACACAGCAGTGACGTCGCGTTTTACTTGCCTTTCCTTTCGCTTTTTACTTTTGTTGAAGATTGTTTTTGATTGAGCTGGTGGGAATAATAGAGAGTTGCTTTTTGTGTGAAGGGGGCAGGGTGAGGAAATAATACATACAGTCTATAACCGGGACGCCTCTTAGATCGAGGCCGAGCTACGCTACGCGGTTCATCGAGTTCGGTTTCTGTCGCTGTTGCGGTGTGGGGGTTCGAGAGCCCCCTCGTTGCAGGCAGTGCCAGCATCGTCCCAGCGCGGAGTGCACCACACCGCCCGTCGGAACGGGCGGCGGTTGTTGTCGCCCCCAGACAACGGTCAGAGGGGGCGTTCTGTAGGGTGTTCTTTATGTTTTTTGGAGAGAGCAGCTAGGATGGGTCCGAGCCGTTGGGCAAGGGGTGGAGAGAGAGTGGCGGGCGTTGAGTTTTTTTTTTTTTTGTGCCGTTTGATAGATCAGGCAGGGTGGGTCTCAGCCGTTGCGCAGGGGGGCGGAGGGAGAAGGGCTGGCGCTGTGAAGTGAATCTTTTTTTTTTTGTGTCGTTTGAGAGAGCAGGTAGGATGAGTCTGAGCTGTTGGTTGATTCGTGTGCCACCGCAGCGTCGTCGGTTCGCTCGTTCCATATCAGCGTACGGTACTTACCGCAAACCTTGGCGAGCTGAATTCCAGCAGAATGAGCAGGCGCGTTGAGTTGCAGCTTCGTCTTGGGAACTATTGGTAGCAGTATTCCAACGGGAGCGCGTTTCATTGTTGTATACACAAGGGTGGGAAGGGGCACGAAAGCCGCGATCGCGCTGCTGCGATGTATTTTCTAAACCGCTTACGCAAATATCTGCGTCACGTGTAGGGTGCAGACGGCGTTCCGTTGGGGTTGAAAGTGTTTTTCTCGCTCTTGACGTGGGGTCGGTCCACTACTGCTAGTAGTAGGCTGTATGTGTCCATGCACTGGGTGGGCTGGAGTTATTGTGTGTTCGGCGCGCGCGCGCGGGGGGGGGGATTACGAGGTGTATGTATGTCGGGGGGGATTGGCGGCGGGCGAGTAAGACTTGGCACGGTTACCGTTTCGGTCCACCCCGTCTGCGAGGGTAACCCGAGTCGGTGTTGAAAGCGCGTGGAGAGCTCACGGCCGAAGTGGCTTTAGGTGATAGCGGCGGGTGTATGTGTGCGGGGAGGCGTGGGGGAGCGGAGCAGGGAGGGGGCATCAGCAGTATAAATATGGGGTGTAGTTTCATGGTATGTATACGTCGTAAAATTCCGGAACAGATATGTCATCAATGATATAGAACAAAAGGTTTCAGCACGCTACAGAGCGAGCGCGGAAGCCGTCGTGAGTCTTTTTAGGGGTATTTCAGTTTGCGTGGCCGTACGCCAAAGCAGAAACGGTCGGTTTTTAGTCTAGGGGGCCGGGGGGGGAGGATTCGTTGTCGCGGGACAAAGAATACAAACACGCTTTCTGGTCTGCTGGGTCCCTCACAGGGGGGTCGTGGAGTGTGTGTGGTAGGGTGGCCCATCTGTTGACAGGATGGGAAACCTTTGGAAGGCCAAAGGTGGCAGAGGTCACGGTGGCTAGTCACGGCACGCGCTTTCCTCTTTATGGTTTTAGTTTTAATGTCCCTGTTTGTTTTTTCGTCTCTGTCTCGTCGTGTGTTTTCTCTCAGAATTTCCCCTCCTTACGTTTTACGAGACGCTATTCGTCTATTCTTTTGTTACAATGTAGACGTACTCTTCTCCCCCTTCTTCAATTTATTTCCCGGGGTTTCTGTTTTTATCCGGGAGGGCTCCGAGGCAAACCAGGGTTGCCAGTTTCGCTGTTTTTTCGTTCTTTTGAGTGCCAGAGAGCTTGTGGGCGCGTGGGTTTATCGAGCCAAGCAGATGGGCGATCCTGAGGAGGAGGGTCGTAGACCCTTTGCTATTATAAGTAGTGATTCTAGTGATCTTGATGATTGTTTCTAGTCATGTTGATGATTGTTTGTCTCGACCTTGAGGTCATGTAGCGGGTGGGAATCCTTGGCCATCAACTATCAGCCGCGGCAGTAGTAGCAGTGTCACCGGCACGCTACGGTACCACTTCTTTTCGGGCAGGGCGTACATGTGTGTGTGTGTGCTTGCGCTACTGCGACGTTTGATACGTACGGGCAAACACCCACCCACTTTGATGTTTTTTGTGCGTACAACACCGGCAAGACTTGGAGCAGGTGTTCTTTTGCTCAGGCGTTGGGAATTTTCATGCACGTGTTCTTTTTTTGGAGGTCAGGGTTAACCCGCCGTGAACATGATCGTGTCCCGCCCACACGGCGCCGGTAGATTTTAGGTTATCAAGGGGTTGATTGAAGCTTTTGGGAATCGAATGTAGAGATATGGCAGGTACCGGCGTCTCGTAGTGTGATGCTTTCGAAGAAGAGTCTAGCTCGATTTGGTCCCCCACCAGGCACCGCACCTCTTCGGCCCGAGAAAAGCACCGTTCGGTCGAGCTCCGCCATGAACTCGTTCGTCTTCTGCTTTTGGGCGGCGGCCATGACCGTGTCTCTTTTACTGCTCTTGTGGTGGTCTTTGCCTGTTGTTATCGCTGGGAATGTTGGAGGACCCTTGCGCGTGTTTTTCGTTTGTTTTCGTATGATGTTGGAAGTATTCGCTTTTTGTGTACTCTTGTTCAAGAGCCGGTATCACAAAGGGGTTTTCTTTTGTTATAGAGTATTGCCGCGACGACGGTGGTGGTGTTTTTGAACAGCGTTGGTCGTGCTTGTGTGGTTGGTTGGTCTCGGCAATGCGAGCATTCCTCCGCGAGGTCGAAGAATTCCGTTGTCGTTCATTTCGCAGGAGCATTCACGTGGCGTTTTTTTTGGCGACCACGACCGTCTTTCGCGACGAACACGTCTCGTCTTTTGGTGGGCGCCCCCGCTTCAACCTGTACCGGGTGCTACGCTCTTCGTCATACTAGTCTAGCCGGGCACAGAAGGTGCCCCGGGTTTCCCGATTGGTTATTTTTCTGCGTCTTGAGGACAACCTGTGAACGGGTTGCGGCTCGCAAATCAATTGGAAATTATTTCGTTGGGTTCGTGTTTTGGAAGGAGGGAGCCTTACGCATCCAGAAACAGAGTTGAGGCGCCGCCTTGAGTGCGCTCGACTTGTTGTTGATGCTGTTATTTGTCAGAATACCACATGAAGCCATCTCTAACGGGACAACGGTGCAGGCAGGGAATTTCGTAGTTGTTTACGGAGTATTTTTTTTGTCTTGCTTGTGTCACTGCACACCTACCCATTGCTTGCGTGGTTTTGACAAGTTCCCACGCTTGCAGACTCTTGCCGCACGCCATGGCACGGAAGAACGGGGCAGCCATTATGAATTCCATTAAAAGTCTGGTATACACGCGTCTGGTGAATGCTGACTGGCGGCTTACTCGCTGTGTGCAAACACGACCTACACGACTTGTCTCGAACGTGGTACATCTTGACACAGACAGGATAGAAAAAACGGTGCCCTCAAGACGCCCGCACGGCCGGTTTCATCGGCCGCTAGCGCAAGAAATATGTACAAACCCAACCATCACCACATGTCTCCCCGTGATGCGCGAGCGAGCCACATGGCACAGGCTAGCCCGGCGAGATAATCTCCCAAGCACCCATCAACACAGTGGTAGATTTAACAACCCACAGACTAGCATCGTCCGCGCCCAGTCTTGAAGCCAGTGGCACTGAAAGTTCCTCTTTGATCTTTCGAATAGGAGGCGCTACGTCGAAGCTCTCTGCCCTTCTCCTTAACCCCAACGCGCAACCTCCGCAGCCTCTCCTTCAAGGCTTCGTCGTCTTCTTGCTGCTCCAACACGCGCTCTCCTCCTCCTCGTCCCTCGGCATGGCGGCTTTCAGGCCGCTGGACGGTGATGGCGCTACGGGTCTTCGATGTAACCGTCCGTTCCACACGCTTGAGGCTTTTCAGATGGAGTTTCGTCTCCTGAAGAAAGAAGGCGGTGGAGTGTACGTGTTGTAGACTTCGAAGTATAGTGTAGGCAAGGGTTGTCTTCACGGCGAATACTTCTGGCAGAGGAACTTCAGTTGGAACGCGTCGCGGTGTGTATGTTGGAATGGGCCTTGTACCTTATGTGTGTCACAAGTATGAACATATATTGCCCCAATGTTGTGTGATGCTTGGGAAGCTACGGTTTAGTTTTTCCGCGCGACGGTTGAATCGGCCAAGGAAATATTTTATAGATCTGCTGGACGAATCGGGGTCTACTTGTAGAGTACAGTACATCACCTTGAGCTGCCTCTTTCGGGTCTCTCCTTCTCGCTGTTCCCAATCCTTCAAAAACATTTCGCTAATCTCGACTGGGCGCGCCAGTTCGTCTCTCACGATGGCTTCCGTCCACCGCGCTCTCTCCTACTTGAGGCCATTTGTTGAACCGATCGGGTGACAAAGCGGACACATGCTCATTTGTTTGCTATTTGGCAGGTACGTGGGATTGGCTATGAAGGATGTGCACTTCCTGCCCCATCAGTTTACACGAGCCCCGCCCTGTCAGACGGTCGCTTTTCTATACAAGATCAGAGCACTACCAAAAGCTCTTGCACAGCAGTCCGGTATATCTGCTATGTTGGCGCGTTGGTGTTATCAACACGATGCTTTCTTTCCTGATAGGGCCGGCCCCGGACCTGATTCGGGGATAATAAAGACCACATCGTCCAACTCCATCTTCTTCTGTATCGATGGATATGGTGCATCGAAGTTGATAGTGTTGCCACAAGTCATACCGAGCAATTTGCAGTGGAGCTCACCCCTTCCCTATCGACAGAGAGCTGCAGCATCATGTCACGCTCTTGCAGCCGTTTGGTAGTTTCGAGCGCCTTCCTGTGACCGACGCAGGAGGCCATCAGGAGTGAAGCCGCAACGCATGTTAGGCTATCTTGTGGGTGTTCTTACTTTCTGCCGCTGAATCGTACAGCGTCGCAAGCCGGCGCGGAACGTGACAACCGTCTGCTGATATCCCTTGCGACTGCAACGTTGCAACATGCTGTGGTGATCAGGTTCGCTACGGTAGTCTAGAGTGCGTTGCGCGTTGTGCGGCAGGGCTCGCTCACACCTCGTCGTGGTGTTCAGTCCGGTCCACGGCGATGCGAGGAGCCTGCCGAGCATGTGAGTAGTTGGAACGTCACCGTCCTCACCTTATGCTCTTATCGTTCGCATGCCTTCGCCATTGGATATGCGCCAACTTGGTGTGGAGATCACTCAAAGCATCCCCGCCACCGGACACGACACTTGATCCCGCGGGGACATCCTCACGGCGCGAACCGAACTCGTCCTGAGTTCGGCATCGGCGGTTTCCTTCTAAAGGGGGTAGAGTATGAACGGAACCCATCGCGGCGTGGGCTAGATGTTAATCGCCAGGATTGAATCGTCCTGCTCTCTCTCTCCGCCTCTCTCTGCCTCTGTTGCCCACTGGTAGGTCTTGCACATTAAGGAAAAATAAATACACACACAGAAAGACTACCCATTCGAGATATACCCACAGTCGAACGGGATGTGGTGGAGTCTCTTCAGTGAGTGAGGGAAAACCAACCGGGTTGCACATGTTTGGGCCATGTTGATGTTCCGGTTCGTTTCGGCGGCGTAATCACCGCATGCACCGCCTCGTGAACGCCGGAAACCCTTGGTTTTGAGTCTTCCAGAGTTCCAGAGTGCCTGTTTTCGCACGCTTGCAGCGAGTCCTTGAGCTAGCGGACTGGTTTGGTGAACACCCACCAACGTTGCCCTCTCTTTCGCGAGAGCGTTCAACGCCTCCGCTCGTTGGCGAACCAAGAGGAATTCGGCGGATCATACCAAGGATGGACGTCGACGACCTCCAGGTGCCGCTCCGAGGGTTTGAAGACGTGACGCCCATCCCTCAGGACGATAGTGCTGATCCTGTCGTGTCCATTGCCTACAGGCACAACTGTGAGTGGGCCCGAAAGCTCAACGTTTGCTGGCACATAGTAGGGGGTGTGTGTCGATGACCATGCTACGGCAGCAGTACCTTGGAGACTTTCCTTATTTGCGAAAGACGGTGGTAAGAAATCACAGGAAGATCGTGTCTGTTGCACGTACTGGGGGAGTCTCCGTGATGGTTCGCACATCAACAATCTGCACCCCCTCTATCTCCTTATGTACACGTAGCGTTGTGTTTTTCACAACAGTTTACAGGCCGCAGGGAAGCGCTGCTCACACGTTTCCCTCGACCACGATCAACGATGTCAGGCACCTTCAGGCGATTCGAACGGCTAACTTGAGTTGCGTAAGATACCACACCCCCTGGACCGCTCGTTTACTCCACGACGAACGGGAGGCCAAATTCAAACGATGACACGTTTTCGGAAAGCTCTCGACGAGACGGTCCCAAAACCGCCATTTTCGGCACCGTCACTGTTTGTGCTGCAGACTAATCGAGCCAATCGGCACAGGGGTGGTATCTGACTTTACCTACGGAGGGTATATTGCACTTTTGTACAGAGTCGTCGCTCCCTCTTCCCAGCCTCGAACTTGACCGCTGCCGATTTTTTCGTACCAACATGTTGCTATCTTCATCCCGCGCACACTCAGACACGGTCGCCACGGACTACTTGAGAGCGTTCCAGGCCTCGGGAGAAACCAGCGAGAGGTCGCTAGCCATAACGAGGCTGGTCCTCGAGTACAATGCCTCTCACTACACCGCCTGGTGGTTCCGTCGAAGGTGCGACGGATTGGAAGAGCAGCTGGGTGGGGGGGTCGAAGGCGTGAGGTTGGCGGCGGTGGGGGGTGGTGTTGCATTATCGAGAGAGCGTAAGACAGGCCGTACTTGGAGCGAACGTTGTCCCGATTAGGTTTCGGGGTCTACGTGGGGGATGTTGCGGGCTGCGAGCAAACGCCTCTCTGGCGTGCTGATCGCTAGTGAACGCCTCCGTATTTGTTGCGTGATTAACTTCCGCGTTGCCCCCCTCTTGCCGGGACCGGCTTCCCGTGGACGGGACGTCCCACCTTGCGCGCACGACCTTTCTTTTCTCGTGGCCAGCACACAATTGGTTTCAACTGCACCGTACTCCGTGTGGTTTCGTTCAAGACTCGATTTCTCTCCTTCTCGTCTACCAGCAGTACATCACTCCATTGCTTTCAACCTTGTACAAGTGTGCTCGCGTGGTTTTTATTTGTCCTCTCCAGAACCAAATGAAGAAGGACATCCCCGAAACCAAACTTACAAATACTACAAGGCTCCCCTTTCGGGAGTTAGGAGGCTTGCCTCCCGGGGCGACGCAAGAGGGCATGGTCAATGTCATCGCGGTCCCATTGTTGAATGTCAACGTCATGACGTTCGGTACGTGAGTGCCAGTTTTGCGTACAATCTGCAGAATTTTGCCTGGAATTTTTTCATCATCCGTGTGCGGGGTACTTTTTTCTCGCCGTGACTTTTTCGCGTGTGCGTGTGCGTGTGCTTTTAGGCTAGTGACGTCTTTGCCGCAGGTCCTACTGTTATAGAAGTAATCCGCTCTGCGTTTGATCATTTGCTCTTATGTCTTGGTGTTGCCCATAGTCTGTGGAACGCGTTGCGCAGGAATCAAAACAAAAGTCTTCCTGTTTTATGCAAAGTAGTGTTTTTTTGTATTTCTTGCGAAGGCTTTCTTCGCACGGAACACGTCCCCGGGGTATAGAGTCAGTTTTTTCAACTTTGGGCGTCAAGCACAAGCGCTACGGGTGACTGGTGGTCCTCGGTCGTGCGCGGAAATGTACCAACGAAGCGTGAGAAAAGACGCTCTTCTGCTGGCGAAACATATCCGGAAACACGAAAACAGGCAAAATGATACATACGCATATTAAATCCATTAACCACCACCCCCTTTTGTGTATTGTAATTGACGGCGGCGGCGCAGGTGTCTCTTCGCGCTGGGGATGGACCTGGCGAACGAACTAGAAGTGGCGGAAGACATCGCCGGGGACAACCCTAAGAACTACCAGGTTTGGTGAGTTGCGATGCACGCGGACAAGGGCACCGACTGCGGCAACAAACACGTGATACAACAGTTTTGTCGAGGACTGCTGGTGTGTCTTGAAAGGTTTATAAGAACGTGTTTCCTCGGCACCAGCGCTTTAGTTTTGACGATGAGAAATGCCGAGGGCATAATGGTGACCCGGTGGAAGTAAACTCGCGGGTTTACGTTCCTCGCGTGAGCCGGTAGCTAGCATCCATACCATGCACGCACGACGACAACAACGGTTATCCGTCATGCCCGACTAAGACCTCCTTTTTTTTTTGCCAACCTTGATCAGGTATCACCGGCGAGCCCTCGCGGAACACAGGGGTGACCCGGGCGATGAGCTAGCGTACGTCGATCAGGTCGTGGAGGAAGACCCCAAGAATTACCACGCCTGGTCGCATCGACAATGGCTGCTGCAGGCATGTCTTGTGTTCATCAAGAGTACAACAGTGTCTCTTCATCCGGAAAAGAAGCGATTCGTCTCGGGTAGCGATGCGATTTCATAGAGAGGGTCGTGACAACTCTCATTGCATCGTACCTGGAGTGTGCGGTACAGTACATGTACTTTCTCATGGTCGGCACACAGCATTTTATCCGTACCTTCTCCTATGCAGTATCTCCGAAACCGTAGACTGCTTACCTACTACCCGGCTTCGACCGTGGAATGCTGTTGCTCAATGTGTCAAGACGATCGGTTTGTTCGACGCCTGCCGTGTTCTCGCGTAACGTGCTCGTCGATGACTGTCTGTAAGCTTCAGCAGCGCAAAGGCGGGAGGCGATTGGCCGCAACGAGAGGCGTAGCCCCCCGCGCTTTGCGTTTCTTGCGATGTGTATGTCCTTGTTGCGGCTGGTGTGTTGCTCACCCCCGCGGTTTGACCTCGATACGTGAACCAGGCCGGCCGTAGGGCTGCCGACAAGCAAGAACAAGAGCGAAATCTTTTTCGCCTGATCATGTATCATACGTGAGTTACACGACATCTCGCCTGAAGTTTGAAACCCAATTGGCTTCGCCAGAAGCTCAGTCCCCCCCATCTCCCAATCTATTTGGCGTTGCACTTCATGTAGGTCTTGCCGCAGCCGTACTCCATTGTGGGTGCACCTGTTCTCGCTAGAGCGTCGTCACACCCAAGTCTTCACCCCGAAAATTTCCGTTGCGCGCTTGTCAACGCACATTACAACGGCCCGAGGAAGTTCCGTATCAGCTAGTTAACCTCGCGCGCAAGGCTAGGTCTGTACGCACCCTCCGCATCTGCCGTGCGTGCCCCATGCACGCGAAGACGCTTGTCCCTTGGCGGTAGTGTGTTTCCTTCAGAGCGTGCTGTCGTCAAGGTCTAAAACGCCCGACCCGCTTTCCGCCCCCCCCGCCCCCCCCGGTGTTTGCCATCGGGGTTTGGGTTTTCGTCGCTTGGCAACGACGTTGTAAAACAAGCCCCCCACTCGGTGTTTGCCATCGGGATTGGGTTTTCGTCGCTTGGCAACGACGTTGTAAAACAAGCCAATTCACTTCGTGAACTCGGCAACCAGGTTACCGTTTTTTTTTTTTACCTCGTTTTTGTTTTGGCGGTAACCATAATGGTGGTCGAGTAGATCATGTTGTGCGGGGTCGAGAAACCTCACTCCGCGCAACGGGGGATGATCGCACCACGTTGTGTTAAAATGGTCAAGCTTCCTCGAGGCAGTTACACAGTGCTTACAACTGTCTCTGGAAGTGAAAGCACCAGAAAATAAATTAAGTCATACGTAGCTGTCATCCGTACGCAAGGAAGTAAGCACAAGATGCCGAACACCCTTAGCAGGATGCAGCTCACCCTTCATGCGACTCGCCAAATACCTCACGGCGCTTCGCGCTTGGTGATGTGAGAGCCTGGTCCGGTGAGAACCCGGCGTGCTCCGTCCCGGCTTTGTAGGGATGCGAGGTCAATGGTCAAACGACTACGGCATGCACGACTATGAGTACACCCCCCCCCCCCCCCTCGAATCCACAGGAGTTCCGAATGCTGGACACGCAGGAGGGGCGAAACTTGGAGCTGTCTGCGGTAGACGCTCTCCTGCAGCAAGACCTGAGGAACAACTCGGCGTGGAATCACAGGTGGTTCGTCATGCACTCTGCCCTGGGCACCAAGGGGTCGCTATCAGACGAGGTGCGTATTTTTATGTCAAGCTGCAGGAGATGCGAGAACTGTTTTTCTTGCGGTCCCGCTTCCTGCGGTGTTTTGGCTGGTGAGAAGCGAATCCGTGAGGCGAAGTGTTCGTTTTTTTAAGGGAAAGCGCGCTTGAAACATTTGAATTCTGTTTTTTTAGATGATGCTCCGTGAGGATGATGATGATGATGATGGAAGGAGAGGAGGGCACAGGCGTGGCTGTCCCATGCCGCCCGCGCCGCGGCGGCGCGGCGATGTGCTTGCCTTGTCCAACCCAACACATGACACATGTATCGTGCACTTTTTCGGTTGCTCGTGGCAAACTGTTGCAGCACGCACCGACGGCATGGGAGATTCTGCCCTGTGCGTGTAACATCCCTGTAGGCCACCATGGTCAAGCAAACTGCCCCCCCGGGTGCGGTTCTCAGCGCGTACCCCCTCGTGGTGTCGGATCAAGCCGCAATCCGTATCCCATAACTGCTGTTTTTTCTTTTGTCAGAGCCTCTCACCGCCTACAGCGGCCGGAGGTAAAATTGTGCGCAAGGGGGGGGGAGGTGTACTGATAGTCTTGCATGCCGTAGTCGTTCGACCATTGACCTCGCATCCCTCTAAAGCCGGGACGGAGCACGCCGGGTTCTCACCGGACCAGGCTATCACGTCACCTTTTGGTGGGTGGGGCTTTGCACATGCGTGTTTTGCTTTGTCAGATGTGGTCTTTCGTGACGTCATCGTTCACATTGCTTTCGCCAGAGGGGAGGGGGTTCGGTGGAGACCCAACCCCTCGTCGGGCTTGAGTGTTTGGGGTTGTCAGGATGGAAGGGGTTGGTGAATAGTATCGGAAATATGAAAAAGCGACGACGCGGTATGAACGTCGGCATTCGTGGCAGCGTACGCATTCCTCCCCTCGTGTGTTTGTTGGGATTGTTACTTGTCTCTTTCACTGTTTCGTTGCAAAGGGCATGCAGCATAGCTTGCGTGTGTCCACGCGACCATATAATAGTACGGTCCAACCTGTGAGAAAACAGGAAGCAGAGGAGGGAAGGCACCGGCGGGAGCAGGTGGTCATCGTGCAGTCTCGAGCGCGGTTGTGCTGTTGTTGCCTGACAAGAATAACTTAGCCCTCCTTGTTCGTCTTCGCAACGGGTGTACTTGGCAAAGCTTTTCATCGTATCATTGCCATCGTCATTGCACCATTAGGCCGTCAAATCTGAGCTGGCGTACGCGCTGGGGTACGCGAAAACCGCGCCCAGCAACGAGAGCCCGTGGAACTACCTGAGGGCGTTTTTCCGGACGGGGGGCAGGGCGTACAAAGACTTCCCGGAGGTGAAGGGAGCCGCTCTCGCGCTGCAGGTGAGAAAGAGAGAGACGGCGTCGGCTCAGGGTTTTTTCTATTATTCAGAAAACGTGTTGGATAACGCATGCAATTTGGGGAAGTTGGGTTATTGGGGTTAGGGATAGGGTCTGCGTACCCCCCCCCCCCCCCCCCTGTTCTGTTTCCTCAGAAACTTAGTCTCTCGTGAAGGCGGTCCTGGGGTCGTGCGTTTCGACGTTGTAGTCGAGCCCCTGGTTTTCCCCGCTGGTTAGGGCGTGTTTGTGCGGCTGCCCCGCTGCCAAGCATGACCTGCCTGCAGCGGCGGGGCACACGAGTGGAGGCGAGAAACGTTGACAACGTTGTTGGCTCGGTTCTTACTTTCCCCGCCCCCCCCGGGAAGGTCGAGATCGATGCTGGTCTTTGTGTGCTCAGGGTGTCGTGGGGGGGAGGGGGGTGGGGGGATGGGGTGGTGCCAGCGTGTGTTATGCGCCTTGTGGCGTGTTGTGTTTGCCGGCTGGACGCTGCAGAGGTTCTCCCCACGAATGGAGTCGGTGGTTGTTGAGCGCTAAAGAAAATAGGATTTTGGGAGGAAGCAAGCGTTTCTTCTGTCCGTCTTCGGGAGAGTGGGTGGCGTGGTATCTCTGCGGGGCCGCTTTGTAGCTCATGAATACTATATAGCCGGGCTGCCGCGGACGTATCGGAATGGTCGGTTTCCTGTTCTTTGCCGACTTTGCAGACTTCTTCCCCGGACGTTTATTCGGGCGACATTAAGCGGCTGCTCTCTTTGCAGGGTTGGAAAAATAGGGGCTGGAAGACCACCGACAATTGATTAAACACAATGCAGCGCGATGAAATTAACACATCTGAAAGAATGATACGCTAGTGTGTTTTTTCGCTACGAGAAAAAAAAAAAAAGGAACTGTAGATACCATTTGTGACGGACCCCTCGAGGCAAAGACGCGGAAAAACCATGCAGGTGTTCTTTAGACTCAGAGACTGGAGGAGGTATGCCTCCCAAGAATGACAAAAGCGTAACACGTGTCCGCAACTGCACGCGCGAACCCTCCCCAGAAAACGTACGAAAACCGATCATTTCGTCGAGAGGATGTCATCACTCCCTTCAGACCAAGTCCTGCCGTATGCCGGGCGTTCGTGCATGAAGTCTGCGATGTTAATTGTGTTCACTTTGGCGGCGCAACCTGACTTTTTTTCCCCGTCTTTGTCCTGGCATGCTTGCTGTTCACCCCTCGCCTGCTGCTGTTGTTTCGGCGACTCCTCCTGTGTGGTGGGTGGGTTGGTTGGTTACCGCAGAAGACCGAGGCGGGCGCGAAGAGCCCTCACGTGTTCAGCTTGTTGGCCGAGGTATGAAATTGTTGTTGTTGTTGCTGTTCGTTGTTGTTTTGTGATGGTGGTGGGTGGTGGTTGTGTTGTTGTGTTGTGGTTGTTTTTGTCTTTTTTTGTTTTCATGCTGTTGTTGTTGTTCTTGACGATTCGTTTCGTACAGCTCAGCTTCGCTTGGTATCCTCAAATAGAGCAGACCCGGCACCGTTTGACCCCCTGTGACCCGGCCCCCTCCCTCTCCAAAATATTACCTCGACAAAAGCGGTGCAACCGGACCCCCCCCCCCCCCTTCTCTCGTCGGGGACCCCGTCTGACCCGCGATAAGGTTCAACGTGTTTCCACGACGTACCCCGTTGAGAATTCTGTGCGCCCTCCCTGGCAACTGGTATGGCTATGCTGCTGGCTCCGTTTTCCCTTCCCGGTTCCTTCCTGCCCCCGGCCTTGTTAACGGCGACCGCTTACCCCCCCCCCTCTGTGCAGGTGTACGAGAAAGAAGGCACCGAAGACTCCCTCAAGAAGGCGATCGCCGCCTTCCAGCACCTCAGGGACACGCTGGACGAAGTGAGAGCGAGGTACTGGGAGAGCCGCCTGCGCGCCGCAGCGACTCGACGGCGGCAGCTTGGCGGTGCTGGCGGTAGTGTCGCCACTCCCGCTGCTGCTGCTGCTGTAGAGACGGCATCGGAAGGAGCAGCGTTGTGAACCCCTGTTTTTTTGGGCACGCAGCGGACTTATGTAGAGGGCTTCGAGATGCTGTGCCCCTTCCTTTTTCACCTGGGGGGCAGGGATGGCTTGCTTCGATGCTTTTTTTTTTCTTGGCAGCCCCGCGGCCGCGTTTGTTTTTCATCTTCAACGATTGGTATCCAGAAGCCCGATACCAAGCCCTCCACGTGGGAAATGGTTCTGGGTAATTCGTTCTTGCCGAACGTTCGCTTCGCTACAGCAGCGCCGTCGAAAACCTTGCGAGGAAGAAATCAGTGTGGTGGTTGGCGTTGTCAGATTGCCGTACGGTGTGTAGAGCCTGCATGAGGGTTTTTCAGCTGTTCTGGTGTGTTGTGTGGGAGTTCATGTTTGAATAATTTTTCGAGTGTAAATCTGAAAGTGTTAGTCTTGGAGCGGCATGTGTATGCGCCCCTCTGCAAAAGGGTGTGGTGGCATGGGACCCTCGCGCTGGCTAGAAGCAGAGAATGATCGTAGGGTGCTCTCCGACCGCCCGTGGCCTGTCTGCCCCGAGGTAGCGTACCGTTTACGCCGCATGGCTTCGTTCGGTGCGCCTTTTGTTTGGGCAACACACAAACGCATGTAGTATGTGTTCCTCTATGTAGGCGGCGCCGGGAGCGTACTCTAGAAGTCCAAAAAAAGCAGTTACCGGTAGCTCCCGCACTTGAAAACCTCTAGTGTAGTTATGACCAAGGCCGGGATTTAGATACGGCCAAGGCCGGGGCTGTTAGTTCCTTCGGTTAGGCTACAAATGGCCGCTACGTATAGGTTTGAGTGCAGGGGTCATAAACGGTGCTGCTCAAGTTTTGTTTTGGGTGTGATAATAATATAATAATATCAAGCATGATCCTTCTTATTGCAGTGCCGGCGCTAGCTGCTGTACATGTGATTCGTGGATACGAACAAGCAGTGGAGGGCATGAATTCTCGGAAACGACCGACCCGCAAGCGAGTCCTGACGGTTGACTGACGGTACATGTTGCAGATGGTTTGTACTTCTGAACCCCCCCGGGTACGTACGCGCAACTTTCATTGCGTTGTTTTTTGCGCCACGCCTACCCAAGCAGTTGAGCTTTTTTATCCCAATTTACTATGTACTCTCATCCCACACCGATCAGTACACTCGCCATTAATGCTTTGGCCGAAACTTTCCAGCCCGAGCGTGGAGCCAGCTGATAGCTACAGTATCTGTTACGCATACATGTACAAGCAACGAGGTGGACTCCTCTCATGTTGAATAGTCTATATGCAATACTGTGCTCCTCACATACATGTTGGTGTTACTGCTGCTGTAGAACGGGCCTACGTGTGGAGCAGCTCGCGAAACACATGTATGTAGACTCAGTACGCAAAAAGGGGATGAGGAAGCGTTATGCATGCATACGTTGTAGTGAGGGGGAACTATAGAAGCCAAATCAAACCATTGGAGTTGTTGTTTTGTTGTTGTTTTCTTCACATTAAACTCGTGTCAGTTGCTAATCCCAAAATCTAGCAAAGACTCGGCCCGTGGTCACAAAAATGCTAAAGCCATCCGAAGATCTAAAGAACACGCACGCACACTACTAGCAAGAAAAGGGTACACAAGCCCGACCGACGAGGTACACCTACAATCCCTGCAGCACGTTTGCGTGCTCACAACTAACTGAACTACACGCCCACACACTACAATTCGACTACGGCAGGCGGCATCACCCCCCCCCTTGTCCCGCGCTTCGCACTTCACCAAAATGAATGTTTGTCGACTACAGCGTCTGTCTGCTGTCTGAAGTGCTGTCTGTACAAAAATAACACCATGGTGTATGGTGCAAAACAAGCTCGGGGGGCATGCAGCTGCTGTCTGAAGTGCTGTCAGAATGGGCCCGTGGACATACAATGAAGAAGAACAACCAACCAAAGCCATCATTGCAATTGACAATCGCCCGAATCTATCCAGATCATCTGTGTTAGACACAGCAGTGTAAATATCGACACTGACTAGGAATCGTTCCACATTGAACAGGTCTTCCACGATGCAGGTACACAATTAAGGCACCCGGGTTATCCGCGCCATCTCTGCCGCGTCTCTCTACAAAACCAGTGGCGTCATTACACACACCTAACACCTATATTCAGGAAAAAAAACGGAAAATAATTGACAACACAAGAGATGTTTGTCCGTGCGACACGGTTCGATGCCGTCCGCATGCTCCGGTTCCGCTGCTGCTCCGGTGCCGCTGTTCCGGTGCCGCTTCTCCGGTGTCGCTGTGGCCAGTCCTAGCACGACCAAACTCGACCCGCTCCGCTTCGTACACGCTCTCGTTGCTGTCCCTCCCAGTCGGTTCCTCGCTTTCTCCCTCGTTGCACTTAGGGTTCTTGGTCTGAAAATTCTCGCGCCTAAGGGTCAACCAGCCCACTCAGCTCGTCACCACCTGTTCCCTCCTCCCCTTTGATGGCGAAGCCAGGTTACTGAGACAGTACAGCTCCCTCTAGCAAGCATAGTCTAGGGCCGTGTACATAGTGCCCGTCCACCTTTCTGATGGCGTCTGCCTCCGCGCACAAAGATGAGATGGGCAATGCTGCCTGCACCGACGGCCTCGAGGCCCGCGCATCTGCACCTTTGTACCTGACGCACCAGTGCCGACCCAACTCCACCACTACGCACGCCTCGCGGCGGATGCGCCGTAGCAAGAAGGTATCGGTCCCTCGAGGGTGAGTCTAGCCCTGCTCGCTAGAAAGACCCCCCCCTCGCTTTGGGTCATGCCTAAGCAAAACCTTGCCGAGGCGGCGAGGGGAAGAAGGACTAGTCAGCGCTGACTAGTCTGACTATTATTTAGTCCAATGGTTTGATTGTGGCTTTGGGTATTGGGTATAGTCTTTCTGTGTGTGTTTTTATTATTCCTTAATTCTATAGAACTCGTCATGAGGGGTGCCGGTAAGCATTTTTTATTTTTCTTAATATGACACAACGAAACCATCTCTATCATAGAAAAGAGTCTGAGACAGATTAGCAATGGATTCATAGCGTCAGAAAGTGCCGGTAAGCATTTTCTTTCATTCTCAGGCGATCCTCGAACATCTTGGGTGAGGTACGTAGTGTTGGGAGCAGTAGACTGATGCCGCTCACTACTGTTCTTCGATACGACCAGCTTATAGATGACGACCCGTTGCGGAGTAACATTTTACCAGATCGAGGAATGGAACAGCAAACAAGCTGCTGCTGTTGTACGTTGCCTTAAAAGTACTGCTGTAGTCTGCAGGCAGACCTGGGACTTTCGAAATTTGAAACTTTGGAAAAATGTCAACGAACGAACCCGTCCGCTTCGTTTCGAAAAATGCTGGGGGGAAGTGCCACAACTTTATCGATTCCTGGTTTCTCGAGCAAGAGAGAGGTACACACTTTGTATAGTGCTGCACGGACGGGAACAACACGTTGCACAATGTATAGAGCACGGTCCGGGTGGTGTCCCACTGGTCTCTGTGCCCGCACACATGCATGCATGCGCGGAAATGCGCGCTAGGGCAATCAATTCACATGTTCGGAGAAATGAGTGGAAACGACCTCTCAGGCTCTCGGAAACGACCTCTCGCCTGTAGTACGTATCATAATCTACGCGAAATCACGGCCACATGCACTACACAGACAGTTGGAAGGGGCGTATAGTGCGCGACGTCAGAGTGTGAATCTAACACGGCTGTCCTGTACTTGTGTTTGCAAATGCTCTGTGTTGTCTGCGTAATGTCCGCGTCGTCTCACAGAAACACACATTACCTCTGCGGGAAGATCTTGAATCTTGGAGGCACAACGGTCGTGATTCCCCTCTGTCGTGTTCCGAAAAACAGCGGTTTTATTAACGTTCTCCCAACGGCAACCTCAAATGGACACGTACATGTTTTCCGTTGCTGCGGTCAGCAATCCGCATACATACATACACCTCGCCCCCCGGCAACACACAACACAAACATCACCGCTCAGCAAACCCGACTCTCAGCGTGTCCTCGAGGTCTGAACTTACTTTCCGAGGTAAGGCCGTGCATGTGCTTAAGACACTTGTAAGACTCTGCGCGGGGCTCCTTGCACTGCTGCTGTATCTATGCATACCATGTCGTAGAGTCGTTTCCCGTATCTATCGCTCCGATGTAGGTTATGGGCTGGTGGTAGTGTGTTGTTTAGTTTGGTCATCCGGGACTGCTGTACAGCAAGCAGAGTACTATGCTCGTCTACGCATCTAGTGAACGTGTACGGGGTCTAGACAAGCAAGTGTTGTTTTCCTTGACAAGTCTTTTCAGGTGCGCGGAAAGCATGCAGCCACCCTCCATGTTGGTCGATAGCGTCAATAAATTATGCAACGTTGTTGGAATTCCGTGGGTCGGACACAGGGAGAAGACTGTTGGCTGTTGTCGTGACACGGTAAATTAACTGGCTGTGTACGAATCCTTGTTTTGGCCACCAGCTCCAGTAAGGAAAAGAGGAGAGAGAGAGAGAGAGAGAGAGAGAGAGAGAGAGAGAGGACCGGCAAGTTCAAAATCGTCGTTGTTGCGCCACTTGTTTCGTTTCCTCTCAGTTCAACTATCGACCCTTCTGCTATTGAGGATCTTTTCGTACGCTTTGCTTCATCGGTCGCAATTTGCGAACGGATCGTAAAGTTCGGTTGTGCGCTGTTTGCCGAAGGGAACATGGCTTACGGGTACTATTTACAGTACTGCTCTTCTTCGCGAACAAAATATCAAACAAAATTTCCTCTCTGCTCTCTTCGTTCGTATATGTTCATATTCCCCCAGAAAATGTCGAGGACTTCGTCGGTGGTTGTGGTGTTGCTTGCGCTGGCCCACCACCCCGTCACCGCTTCAAACCTAAGGACCACAAACCTTCTGGATACTTCTCCCACCGTCGTTCAACATGCCACCAGCGCCGCGCCGCCGACAAGACAAGCTAGCGTGAGTATGAGCGAGCGATCGAGCAAGTAGCATAAACACTGCGACGGTTGGTTTGAACTTGCTTCCGAACTGGATAACATCACCACCTGAGTGTGCACCCTGAAAAATAGGATGTCACCAATGTTAAGAAGAACAGCATATCCACTATGCTACAAGTCAGCGCTGACTTGTAGCATACATAGTGGATATGCTATACATCTTAGCTAACAAAGTACGACCGGGGTCCTTCGACTTGTTACAGCTGTTGGACCCCGGGAACTAACCCCAGGGTTGGTTGTAATCCCTCAATCAGCGCTGCCCCGTGCGGTTCGTCGACTTACAGGCGGGAACATTTGTCTTCACTTGGACGACTGGAATGTATACCGTATTTACATCTTGACAACCAATGCGGTACTTGCGAAGTAATCTTCGGCGCTTACATTCCTAAACTCCAAAACCAAAAAGTTGATTACAATCCCAACGGTCCCGCGCCCCCCCCTCGGTACCTCTCCCATCGCTTGGTCTCTATCTGCAGCGTCACCTCCGCGACTCGGATGATTCAAGCAGCGATTCGGACAGTAACGACTACAGCCCCAAGGGGTTGTACGTCGGTTGCTTCCAAGATGATGAGCAAAGCCCGCTGCTCGAGTTCGGGTTTATTTCCGGGGGCTTCATCATTGAGGTGAGAGAGCCAAGTTATTGAGTCGGCCCCCGACACCTTGCTTGGTGCTTGTGACTTTGGTCCTTTCAGTTTCTGATTATTTTGTCGTTGGGCAAATGGCGGATTGAATGGGTTCCTCCGTAAGTCCACAAGTTAGTTGATCGCTCGTGTTAGTCCTCTACGTGGACATACATGGTACCTCGACAGGACCACGCTCGTTGTCTTTCTCCCGTTCATTGGTGATTATGCCGCATGTCCACACACGCCGTGTTCGTTGTCACCATCCTTGTTGAAATTTCTCCTGCATTGTCCATCCCCGCCGATCCCTTGCCCACGCAAACAGCGTTGCTACATGCACTGCACGGACGAGGGCGCGACTTTCATGGGCATCAAGTATGGCTTCCAGTGCTCATGCGGCTTTGGGCAAGAAGAAGACTACACGCTGAACGGCACCGGAGAATGCACGTGCGGGTGCTATGGGGAACGCGACGGCAACTGCGGTAAGCCTCGCCGCCCTCCCACCCCCCGCCCGCACTTCCCGTCCATATCATGCTTGTAGGGACTAAAAATGTCGATCGAGCATGTGTGGAGTAGAGTAGGTCTTGAGTCGATTCCGTTTCTCGTGGTTTTGCATGTTCACACGGGACGTGGCCGCCGTTTCATGACGAATGGTCTAATACACCGCAGCCGCCGTATGACGCACCACCGGTACGATTGATCCCTCACCGAACGCCGCGCCAGTGTGTATCACCGCCCATGTCCCGTTTAAGAAAAACATCATGGGCGTACCGTGTCTTGGATCAATTGCATCCACCGTCCCGTGTGCCCGCTCCTCGCGCTACTGCTGTACCGCCGTATCGACACCAGGTGGACAGTGGGCTTTCGACCTGTACTCCCTCGGAGGAGGGGACGACAGCTCCACCTCCGTGACGCCGTCACCGACGGCGTCGTCGATCGGCTTCCCGATGCCTACGGGCTTCCCGATCCTGTCGGCCGCGCCCTCGACATCGTTCACGTGGGGCCCGACGGGGGGGCCGTCGTCAGCGCCCACCTCGTCTCCTACTGGCAGCACCATGACCATGACGGACGGTGGGTCTTGGTCCCCACGATCACTCGTTGTTTGTTGTTCACCAGTGCCGATATTTCGACCTGATAGTGCGTGTGATGTGGTTGTTTCTCCGCGCTTTCCAACAGTAGCAACTCTTCATTCGTTGATGAAAAAGCCACGCTTCGTGCACCACCTCTCAATGAAGCCCTGTCCCTTTTGTTTGTCGTGCGCGTTCTACTCTTTTTGTCTACGTGTTGGGTACAGACGACGGAGGGTACTCCATGACAGCCCCCCCGACACCTGCGAGGTCGCTGCCGACACCGTCGCCAAGCATGCTGGTGGGACCCACCCCGACCATGCCCGTGGCACCCCCTACTCGGATGCCCGCGACTCCTCCTACTCCGATGCCGGTGGTACCTCCTACTCCGACACCCGTGGCACCGCGAACGCCCGCCCCCGTAACTGAGGAGCCTGTGGCACCTCCTACTCCAATGCCCGTGACGCTTCCTACGCCGATGCCCGTAGCACCGCGAACGCCCGCCCCCGTAACCCAGGAGCCTGTCGTGCCCCCTACCGCGCCGACTCCGGGCTCGCCGACGCCCGCTGACATGACGGAGCTCGTTGACCTGCACAACGAAGCAAGGTGAGAACAGAACACAACATGAAGAGGACGGTCTGGTCTCAAAACCACTGGTGTTGTTGTGTGATTTGAAAAGGTTGCACATGCACGTGTGGTGGTATTTCGTTTCATTGCCAGGATGACTTGACTCTTGTCCAAAGACAGATCCGTGCATACATACTACTTACGTGCACAGATATCGCCCAGTGATGAATCTGCTTGGAAGCTGATCCTTTACCCCGCTTCCCAGCCAGGTACGACAGTGCCACTCTGTCCACTACCTGGCGCTTTCAGGCAACAAGTGCAATAATATAAGTTCTGACGTTTTCCCTTGCTTTCCACCCCGCCACCTCCTATATACGACGTCCAGGTGCGTTCACAACGCGGACCCTCTCACGTGGAGTAGCACGGTGGCATCTTCCGCCGCCGAACACGCCGAGAGGCTCACGGCCCAGTGCTCCTCCAGCCTGTTCCACAGCACTCAGGAACAGCGCTACGGCTACGGCGAGAACCTGTACATGTGCTGGGGGTCGGACTCGTGCTACTCGCACGAGAAGGCGATGGAGGGACTATGTAAGTGTTGTTTTGCGCGCTTGCTAGGCCCTTGTCGCTTGGCGATGAGCGGCAGCAGTGAGGAAATATGCAGTAGGCATCCTTTTCACCACATGCGGCGCCCCCTCCTTTTTGTGTGTCGCAGACCTGACAACCCCCCCACGTATGCCCGTATCTCGCCTTCGAAGCTGCTGGGCAACGATGCATATCCTGACCCTCCCCTCCCATCTCTCCTTCTCCCCAACGTGCGCAAACAGACTACGACGAAGTCCAGTTCGACAGTGTTCTCCAGTACGGTGGTCACGCGACCCAGATCCTGTGGAAGGCTACGGAGCAAGTCGGATGCGTCGTGGCGCGGTGCACCAACGGCGGAACCCCCTACACGTTCCTCGTGTGCCAGTACGACCCACCGTAAGTGACGAGGTCGGTGTTTGTTGCCTGTCCCTTGTCGGAGGAATAATGTGTTCGTGAACTATATAGGCCCCACATGAATATATATCTCTGCCGTATTGTCCTCAGAACTGTGATGCTTAATAGTACAGAAGAATGGACGGATCGTATTGTACGGGAGCATGTCACTCCTGTTTTCGCCGGTCTGTGGACAACGCAGTATCGACTGGCCGGATGTTTTCCGGACGGTCAACGTCACCTGTTGTCAGCACGTACCGTACCTTTGCACCTTCCGCGCGATGTGGAACTTGACGGTTTCCCGTCGTTATTCTGTTTGTTCCATCCTCTCTCCCTACGTTATGTTTGACCAGGGGCAACTACGGCGGCCAGTACGAGGAACAGGTGGGCCTTCCTGACTCCGGGAAGTCGTGCTAGACACGCCCACTTCCCTGTGTTTCGTCCGGACAACTCCTGGCGCCGAGTTGTTATTGACCGTGATGTCGAGCAGTTGATTGGCTGAAGGTCGCCACAAGCCAGCTCGAAACTTTCCTCCGACGACAGTTGTCGACGCTAAATAGACGGGTTGCAGTTGCGGGACCACGATCCGCCTCATTCTAGATTGTAGCGGTACTGTGTGCTGTGCTCGTTACTGCATGTGAAAACTTTTGTGAGGGTTTGATATTTTCTTTGCGCGTTGCGCTCTTATTTAATTCGTACTTTTAATGGGTGGGGTCTCCTCGTAGTTTGCGATTGCTCTGTGTTTTGTGCCGTGTTCTGTTTCCGTATGTGTTCCGTCGTTCTAACTCTTATCTTGTTTTCTCGTGCCACTCACTTGTTGTACAGACGTCACCATTGTTCTTTGTAGCCAAAGTGTTTCCACTTTCGCGCGTATTGTTCGCATCTGTTCTTGGTAGCTATGCTAGTGTTTTGTTTCTCGCGCGTTTTGTTCGCCGCAAGAGATATTGTTCTTTTGTCATGTCTGGGGAAATAATGTTCGCCCGGGTGAGAAAGTCGTGCGTATGGCATGCTTTGGAGCAGAACCTCGATTGATTTCAGATTTTCACATGGTACTCTTGATCTGCTGTGAAGAGGATGTGGTAGAAACTAGACTGGGCTTCCGTCGAGTGGGATATGTTCATGTTGGAAAGGACAGATTCATGAAGTGCAGGTGCTGTGTGTCAACAACCCACCTAGTACCGTAGCTCCCTGGGATACATAATGGGGATGAACCGTCGTACAACCCGCGCCTGCGAGGTGACGCTAACCCGAAATATGTGTCAACATCTCGGGAATGGAGTCAGCCACTTCAACAACGATCTGTGTATTTTGTAGCTGTGGCGCGTTTCCAGTAGTTCCGCCTGACTGAGTTGTACCCCTGGTACTGAGTGCCGTTGGCGGTCGCTACTGGGAGGCATAACACAAAGCACAAAACATGACAGCACTACTCGCGTGCGGTGGTCAAACATATTTTTGAAGATCACCCGTCAACCCGTCGCGTGAATTCCACTACAGCAATAGTGTAAGAATTTTCATGTTCTCTCGGACATCCGAACGCCCCAACCGTACACACGACGCACACGTGTAGAACCGGGTACGTACGTGGCATGTACTGTAGAGAGCAACTACATACTCTACTACGACGTTCTACTCGTAGACAGTATCATAAGCCAATGCAACTACTGTACAGAATCTGAATTTCCAATGCCACTACAGTACAGAATCTGAATTTTCCGAAAGTCAACAAGTACAACTGTCACTTCACACAACCGTGCACGGTAGAGCAGAGAGCAGTCACCAGACAGCTCGATCTGCCTCGATTGCGACACCGTTGGTCTGGTGTCGATCAGCACGATACGCGAACATAAAAAGGCAATTCCGTGTAGGAATTATGGCATTTTCTTTTTCAAGAGGGTGGTGGGAAGAACCCACCGGGTGTTTTTTTTTTTTTGTGGACTCCGAATATCGAAGCCACTGTTTTTTTCTTTTCTTGTCGGGTGCATCGCCATCAGCAGCACTCCACAACACTTGCACTGCACACCTACTTGCAGCCTGCAGCTCTTGTCCCTTCAATACGTGCCAGACAAATTATCCTCCTTACAACAACGGTACCACAAAGACACAGACTCGGTGCTGTCAGCTGCAGCTACACAACGCAGGCAGGACTGAAGACAGCAACACGCACGTACGCCTTGCCGCTAAGACAAGTGTCAGCAACGCTTCTGTGACTGCACTACTCTTCTTCCGCGTGCCCCCTTCCGCCTGCAACGCAACTATTTCTACTGTTGAAAGCAGCCTTCGATGACTGCAAACACACGCACTCCGACCAGGGCAGCGAAGCTCAAGCACGAAACGACTATTAACTAACGGCTGCGGGGTGTCTACCGTCACTCACCACACCACCAGACACCAACACCGCTTACACAAAAAACACATGAAATTTTCTCCGACACTCAACGAGGCCCACCCCGCTACAACCTCTTTCCGTAGGGATGGGGACTGCAACACACAAACACCGCAATATATCACCTCGGGGCGAGCACCCCCCTCCTCCTCGTGCATTTATGTTTTAGCAACGCTCAAACTGAAAGGAATCCAGCGTTTGATTGCCAACAACAGAGACCATTTACGTCTGTTACCTGCGACGACAACACAGTTAGTTGCCACCGTGCAGCAAACTACGCGGAGCACAGCCGTACGTCAGGGGGCAGAAATCTCCACTAACAACTGGTCGCGCACACACACACAATGCAAAACTCTTCAAACACACACAATGTACTACACTACGGCTGCATGAGCGCAGAGGCCTTCTAGAACGTACCGTACCACCCACAGGTGTATACCGGAAGGCGCACGTATTTGTCCCTCGTATCAGTTTTTCCGGGGGAGGCTTCTGCCCAAATGCAAATAAACAAACAAATTGAAAGCACGCCGAAATCAGGCGAAACACTACCGTCTCTCGTTCTTCCACCGAAGAACTGCTTTCTACTCCTCCAGGTCATGCTGTTGCCTCGTCGTAGCTTTCTGTTCAGCAGCAACATACCGTTCAACCAGCCGTAGATCACGGTGCTTGTTCTCCTCAGCAGGCTGCATCGCTTTCATCGCCGAGGGAGCGAGGCGCTCATGACAAGGGTGAACGCGAGCAGGGCCCGCCGCCATCCTTCCGTGCTGCTGGTGCTGCTGATGGTGTTGATGGTGCTGCTGCCGGGGTAGGAAGTCGTCACCGAAGTCCTCGCACCGCATTCCGCCTCGCATGCCCGGCGGGCCGGGGGGCGGGCCGTGCAGTCGCTGGTGTAGACCGACGGGGCTGCGGTGGTGGTGACGTCCTGCTCTGTGAGGAAAGGGGCCATGGTCCATGCCCATACCGGCGGCGTCTCCGTCGCTGTCCAGGTGGTGCATGCCGCGGTGTTCCGGGTGGCGACGAGGGTGGGCGCGGTGACCTGGGCCCCTGTGCATTCCAGCGCCATGCTCTCCTTCGCTCCCGCTGCTGTGTACGCCCTCGCCGTGGAAGCTGCGACCTCCGTGGAAGGGGTGCATTTGGCGGTCGTGCATGGGCATCCCGTGGGGACGAGGGCCGCCTTGTTGTCCGCGTAGGTGCTGGGGGGGGTGCATTCCGTGGGAAGGGCCACGCGGCCCGGCATGCATCATCGTCGTTTCTTCTTCTCCTTCGGTCTCTCCGCCGCCGGGGTGGTGGTGGCCGGGTCCGTGGTGGGGGTGCATTTGGCGGTCGTTCATGGGCATCCCGTGGGGGACGAGGACCGCCGTGTTGTTCGCGTAGGTGCGGAGGGGGGGGCATTCCATGGGGAGGGCCACGCGACCCGGCTTGCATCATCGCCATTTCTTCTCCTCCTTCTTCGCTCTCGCCGCCGTGGTGGTGGTGGTGGTGGTGACCAGGTCCGCGGTGGTGGTGGACGCGTCCGTGGTGCAGGTGCAGTCCACCGTATTCTTCGAACGGTTCGCGGGGCGGTCCGTGGGTAGGGCTGGACGAGCGGCGGTGATCACCGTGGGCAGGACGCCTACCGTGGCCGTGGCTGTGGCCATGGCGGTGCGGCGGAGGGCCATGCGGAGGGGGGCCGCGAGGTCTACCCATGCCTCCACCGCCGCGGTGGTGGTGGTGGCCACGACCTCCAGGGCGACCAGGATGCTGGTGAGAAGGACCACCCCGCCTGCCTCCAGGCCTGGACCGCCGAAGTTCTCCGCGCCGAACGAGCCCGAGCTTGACTAGGCGATGAGGGCGTAAGCCGAGCGCACGGAGCAACGGCCTGGTTTCGCGGCGCCTGAGCTGGACGCCTGCGGCGACAAAGACCGCGTGGATGGGGTGCTTGCTGGCTCCGGCCTCGATGCCGATACTGTCCTGGGTGGCGATGTTGTCGTGCTCGGTGTCGCTGCCGTCGCTGCTGTTGCTGTTCGAGTCGTCCGAGACCTGGTTGTCCGCTTGCTCTGGCTCGACTTCGGATCCGCTGCTGCTGCTGCTGCTGCTGCTGCTGCTGTCGGTGTTGTCCGCGTCCGCGTCGTCAGCTGCTGATTTGCCCTTGAGGAGATGCTTTGGGGCAAGTCCCTGCGCCACGAGGCGGCCGGGGCAGAGCTGAAGCAGGACCATGGTCTTCTCCAGGCCGCCCGCTGTCATGGAGGGGACACCGTGGTACTCGCGAAGGTTCCTCGCTGCAGCCTTGCACAGCAGAGGGTTCGGCTCTCCAGCATGCTTGCAGCTGGGCTTGTTCGTCACGCACGCTGTCATGCTGATGCCGTTGTTGTTATTGTTCGTGTTCTCCGTCGCCTTGCTGTTCATGGTGTTGGTGTTGGTGTTGTTATTGTTCTTGATGCTGTCCATAGTTGTGTGAGGAGGTGGGGCCGAGGGCGAGGGCGAGGGCGAGAGTCAGAGGCGGCGTAACCTCTTCTAGAAGAAACATGAGAAGATCGCCGTTTGGCCAGGTTCTTTGGGAGTCTGGGAACCGTTCTTGGTTCTTCGGGAACGTTTATCGAACTTCTTTTTCCGCTTGTTTCTCGAACTTCTTTTCCTCGCTTGTTCTTGCTCTTCTCATTGACCACGCTCCTGCTGTAACCCAACGAATCCATCTCAAATCGTTGCTGATTTATCCACGGCAGTGTGGATAATGTGGATGGTCTTCGTGAGACGAAGTGTATTGCGTCTTGTACATGTAGATAAAGAAAAATACAACCTAGAGTCACCTGGTAACTTCTACACTACTGAAATGTACAAATGACACCTCGGACACACCGCGGTGGGGGCGTCCCCTGCGCTGTAGATTTCGCCCGCCCCCCCGTGCATCCGATACAGTCCATAACACGGCGCCTTAAATTACACGAGGGGCCGATCCGGCGCGCCGAAGCCTAACTCTGATCGCCACGATCATCTATCGCAATCTCCTTGACAGAACCAAGAACGCGCCACCGCCCCGTCTCCGATCGAACCTCC